TGGCACTGCAGATGGTGGCTTCACCTTCTACTCCATAGCGCTGGTCCCCAAAATAAAATTTTTACTAAGTTAATTTAACATGTCTGAACAGGACCTGATCTGAGGCACTAGAAATGATGATACATCAGGGCACCAGGAATTCTGCTGACACTGAAGCAGGAGTAGACATTAAACTTACGGTGAAGCTTGGGTGAATGGGTGGTGAAACCACTGATACTCTGTGAAAAGCTGATGGGGACAATGCTCCAAAGAAATCAGCAGAGTGGACAGTGAGAGAGAGAGACAGAGAGAAAGGTCTTCCTTTTCTGTTGGTTCACTCTCCAATGGCCACTGCAGCTGGTGTACTGCGCTGATCCGAAGCCAGGAGCCAGGTGCTTCCTCCTGGTCTCCCATGGGGTGCAGGGCCCAAGTACTTGGGCCATCCTCCACTGCCCTCCCTGGCCACAGCAGAGAGCTAGCCTGGAAGAGGGGCAACCGGGACAGAGTTCGCGGCGCCCCCCCGAGTAGAGACCCGGGGGTCCCGCCCCCTGCGCGGGAGTATAACCTAGTGACTCGCGGCCCCGGCCTTCTCTCTTTTTAAAAAAACACAAGACGATGTTGAAGATGAAGCCTACCTGGCAGGCCATCTCAGTCAGTTTACAAGAAAAAAAAATCTTGTGTCCTAATCAGAGAGGACTAATGATTAATAACATAAACAGCAGTCAACACTAAAGCATCTCAATTGGTTCAGCGTATGCAGTTCTGACTGAAGAATTAAAATAAACACTGGGCTCAATGGGTGCCAAAACGGCTGCACCCAGATTGCCTGCCAGCAACAGCAGAGCTTTCTTTATTTTATTTTCTCTTATTTTATTTTAAAAATTTATTTATTTGTTTGAAAGGCAGAAATAAGCCGGCGCCGCGGCTCACTAGGCTAATCCTCTGCCTAGCGGCGCCGGCACACCGGGTTCTAGTCCCAGTCGGGGCGCTGGATTCTGTCCCGGTTGCCCCTCTTCCAGGCCAGCTCTCTGCTGTGGCCAGGGAGTGCAGTGGAGGATGGCCCAGGTGCTTGGGCCCTGAACCCCATGGGAGACCAGGAAAAGCACTGGCTCCTGGCTCCTGCCATCGGATCAGCGCGGTGCACCGGCCGCAGCGCGCCGACCGCGGCGGCCATTGGAGGGTGAACCAACGGCAAAGGAAGACCTGTCTCTCTGTCTCTCTCTCTCACTGTCCACTCTCCCTGTCAAAAAAAAAAAAAAAAGAAAGAAAGGCAGAAATACAGAGAGAAAAAAGGAGAGAGAGAGAGAGGCAGAAAAAGAGAGAGATTGATTTTCCATCTGCTGGTTCACTCCCTAAACTGCCACAAAGGCCAGGGCTGGACCAGACCTAGGCCAGGAGCCAGAAGCTTCATCTGGGTCTCCCACATAGGTACAGAGGCCAAAGGACTTGGACCACCTTCCACTGCTTTCCCAGGTACATTAGCAGAGAGCTGGATCAGAAGTGGAGCAGCCAGGACTCCAAGTGTGCCAATATGGGATTCTGGCATTGCAGGTGGTAGCTTTGCCATAAGGCTGGCCCCAGGCATCTGCCTTACAGTCCTGATTTTGCTTCCTCTGACTTTTGTTTCCTGTTTTGTTTTGTTTCCGTTGTCTTGTTTCTTCAGTCAATTATGTGTAGAAGACGCCATTGACCTGGTTAAAGTCCCAGGGCCCTCAGTTCTATAGGAATGGACTCAATGACCAGTACCCTTATGTTTTTAACTTGATGGCGCTTATGTTGAGAAATAGGATTTATAGTTTTATCTTTTAATTCTGTTTCCACAAACTTTTGAAGTCCCTTCATATGCATAGGTATGTAAATACCCTCCCCCGCCCCCCGCCCAGGCCCTCCAAACACGTAGATCCTATTTGCTCTATCTCTTGGGGGACCTCTGACTAATACAACCAGCTCATAGAAACAAACTTTGGTCTGCTTCCCACTTGGCGTTTCTACTGCACGGGCTTCTCTGGTTACTCAGGGTCCCCAGGACACTGTGTCCCCAGGCCTTCAGTATGGCCGGTCCGTCTCTCCTCTCCTGTGTCTCTCCCTAGACCAGAATTTCTCATTTTCTAAATTCTGTATTGCACTCCTGTGAAGGAGAATTTTGTAGCTTGTTGATCTGGCCCATGCAACTTCAGTGTGCTAGATGTGCTGTTTTTCTGTGCTCTGCAAGCCAAAAGGGAGATCATACTCTTACATCATCAGGGAGTAGCAAATTAAGCAGCGATGAGATCCACTATATACCTATCAGAATGACCAAATTCCTGGACACAGACAACAGCGATTGCTGGTGAGAATGTAGGTTTTCTCTTGGACTTAGAGCCACATTTTATCATGCTCCCCTTTCTCTCAGATGTAGGAAGTGTGAATATATGCCCAAGCAGTCTTTGCTTGTGAGGCAGGAAGGTTCTGGGCACATTTCTCTTCTTCTTGATTTTGAGTAATTAGGCCCATTACTCTGTTTTATTCTTTATGCATTTGTGGTATATTTTCTAACTAGAAAGCCTTCATATGTTCAATTGAAAAAATTAGAAACATCTAGTAAACAAAAAAGGCAAAGAAAAAAGAAAAACAGAAGACCCCTGAATTCCATCTCCCCACTTAAAAAAACCTTCAAATTTTCATTTATTTATTCATTCATATTTTTTGAAAGGCAGAAAGGGAGAGAGACACCTTCCATCAGCTTACTTCCCATATGCCCGCAACAGCCAGGGCTGAGCCAGGCTGAAACTGAGGGTTCTGAACTCAAATCTGCATATCCACTGTGGGTGGTGGGGACCCATGTGTTTGCCTCACTTGGCAAAATATAGATTCTATCTTTTCAACTTATTAAATAGATTCTATGGCCTCATGAAAATCTTGTTATTTGGAAAACTTCAAAGACAAACAAAATGAACAGAATAACATAATGAGCCCTCTTGTATTCATCGCTCAGCATCAAAGCTGTGAACGTTCTGCTGTCTCCCCCTCTCCTGGACGGCCCACTGCTCTTGTTTCAGCAGCGCCTCTCCTAACACGTGATCTGTTGCTAGAAATGAGGACATTGAGTCCTCATGAGCAAGGAGTTGAGGAAATACAGTAGAGTTCACTTGTAGTATCACAGATAACTACTCAGTACACTCAGGGTTCTCTGATGAAAATTCTAGAAAAGAGAATAGTGAAGTAATTTTAAGAAAAGATTAATGAAAAATTAATGGGCTTCCCTGAGCAGAAATCAGATCCTAATGATGATATAAAATGTGATAAGCTGGAGTTTAAGGCTATTATGTGGGGTTTTCAAAAAAATTCATGGGAAATGCATATTATGGTTGAATTAAAAATTGTTTTGCACCCAAATTAACTTTTCTTTTTATTTCATATTTGATGATCTTTTTGAAGAGCTCTTGTGTAAGTTTTCTGTTTTCCTGTAGGACATAGATTTACCTTGGAAGGAAGACCATGTATTTGTTTTAGGTAAAGTTTTTTAATGAGCTCTTTGATTATCCAAGAATAAAGCAAGGGGTTTATCTGAAATGGGGAGTTGGACTTCCTGTGTAAAAATGAGAAACCTCCTTATGGGTGGACTGGTAGCTCTGCTACTGTCTTCCTTTTCAGGAAATATGGAATTCTTTCTGGAGCCCTCAGAGGCTTTGCAGCCCAGTCTCAAGGATTCATGTTCAGGGTTGTCTCATCAGAGAGAAGTGAGCAAGAGTCACTCTACCGCAGGGCTGTTGAAATGGGAGTGGAGGAGAAAGAATTCCCCAAGAGACTTGATGGAGGGGCCAGGCATAGGAACTCTGAAGATAGTCACAGCTAATAGGAACATTTAATCCCTTTTTCTCCTTTTTTGGTGACAATTTTTCTCTATGTTGAACCTGTAGTTTGTGTTAGTAAATGTAGCCCCATCTTATCTGAGTTGTGAAGAGCTAGGGGATGAGTCTATGTCAATAGGCTTATTAACACTTTGCAGGTTGCAGCCACTTGAGAGAGCCTGTTACCAGGTGGACAGGTGAACTGCAGAAGAGGAAGAGGTATTTGGAGCCAGGTCAGTAGCAGATGTGGATTCCAGAAATGAGGATGTGTTTGGGGGTCCTGTGAGCATTCTGCAGATTCATTGAGATGTTGGTGAAGAGAATCCAGTAAGGCATTGGCTTCTTGAGGATGAGAGAATTGGGTTTGAGGGCTAGAATAGCTAAGTTACATTACAAGGAGACAGAAAGATATGGAAAAGTAAACTCTGGTATTTCAATGTTCCATTTAGTCTGTATTAGCATGTGCTTCACTTTTTAGGCAATGGGTAGCTCTAGAACATGGTTTGCGATGGTCCTGGCTGGTCCAAGTCTGTGAATGAGCTCCTGGGAGTCCTTCCTGGCACTGGAGAGTAGAGAGCACATATTGCTGAGGAAACTGAATTCTGGGGGCTGAGGCAGACTTCCTGGGTGTGAGAGGGAGTGACTCAATGACGTGGGCCATGAAGGGCAAATCAGGGTATCCATATGGAGAATGCTGGATGCAAAAAAGAGAATCTCAATGGGAAGAGAAGTCTGTGTCCATCACACGTTGAGAAGTAGAGGCGACAAACAGGGTAATGGATGGGAAAAGAAGCCATGGAGACAGGATCTCAAGGACAGGTGGGACAAGGCTGCAGTCACAGGAGGCAAGGAGAGTTTGGTGTGTAAATGAGCACAAGAGAACGGAGGGGGTTCAAGCTTGGGGCTCCTTTGTTTTTTGGCTTTCTTACCCTTCTGAAGCAGTGAGTTGGGAGAGGGCAAGGGGCATAAGGAATTGCCTGTGTATGTGTGTGGGGAGGGTGGAGGGATTAAATGGAGGATGGGGACAAAATATTTACCTTCCACACAAGTGAGTTAAGTGGAACTCTGGTATGGATCTTATTTATGGTTTGAGCTCGATGAGACAAGGTGGTACTTTCTCCTTCACATTCGCTTCATTTAAATCTCTGCTGTCACAATGAAAACATAATACAGAAAATCCACAGAAGCTGATCAAATTAGAACAGACTTTTATTGACCCCTAAGCAGTTATGAGCTTACAAGTGGGTAATAACTAGAACTTTTTAAGTATATCACCTTGAAAATACATATTTGAAATGTTATATGATTTTTTAAAAGATTTACTTATTTATTTGAAAGGCATAGTTACAGAGAGGCAAAGGCAGAGAGAGGGAGAGAGAGGTCTTCCATCCACTTGTTCACTCCCCAAATGGCTGCAACAGCTGGAGCTGTGCAGATCTGAAGCCAGGAGCCAGGAGCTTCCTCTGGGTCTTCCCATGTGGGTGCAGAGGCCCAAGGACTTGAGCCATCCTCCACTGCTTTCCCAGGCCATAGCAGAGAGCTGGATTGGAAGTGGAGCAGCTGGAACTTGAACTGGCGCCCATATGGGATGCCGGTACTGCAGGTGGCAGCTTTACCCACAGTGGTGGCCCCAAAATGTTATATGATTGACCTTACCATATACCAAGCTCTGTGTGTAGATATATTTCCTGCCCTACAAAAAAGGTTTATAATTCATTTGGGAGACAAAAGCAAAATTATAGCAATAAACCCATAATGTCACAAAAATGACATGGCCGTAGAGAAAGGGAATGCAGTCCCAGAGAGGTGGACCTGTGCAGTGCACCAATGATTTTCTTAAACTACCTCTATATCATATGCCAGAGGGCCTTCAATGGAAAATCCCAGGTAGAAGGACACTTTTTCTATGTTCCTCCCACTGCGGAGTGGACCTGAATACACAGATGTCACTGGTATTTTAATTTTTTCCTCCGTCCCATATTCAATGGAGATTAGCTTGCCCTCGGCCTGACCAACGAGACGATGCAGGAGGTCTTTGACTTCTTTTTTTTTCCACACATCTCCACTCTGCCAGAGGGAGTTTATATTTTGCGCCTTACTAAAGTACTGCTCTATTTCGGCTTTGAGAACAAGACCATTGAACCCCTTCCTCTTGCCCAGGTAGAAAAACGTGCTTGCCTGTTTCGATCTGCACATGCGCTTGTACTGTCCCCTGAAGGTTCTGTTTAAGGATGAAACATACTTCTCCATTAGTTTGGAGTCTTGATCCAGTTCTTGGTTTTCTGGCCAGAATAGGAGGCAAGCCAAGAAATAAGGGTCGGAATATTGATGATGTAGTCCTACGAGTTGCAGCACTTCTCGGAGCTGTTTTTTAAGCATGTTCAGAGGTTGAATGGACTTGGAGGTGGGTTTCAGACAGCTGAGAATAATGTTGGCCAGAATGAAATTCTGTTTCTCCTTTGTCAGCCGTTTGTTTGGGTTTTGCTTCAACAGGAAGGCATATTCATCTACTATATTTTCCATGGTGCTTGTGGCTTCTTTGTGGTTTAGGCTAAGATACTCCAGGAGTCCAGAAAACCTATCAGCTCTCCAAGCTTCTAGCTTTTTCCTGCAATTCTCCTCCAGGAGTAACTGACTCTCTTTGCTGTGTAATGGACTTGGATCCAAAATGCAGAAAAGGTCTCTGTATTTCTTGTAACAACGACTGACTTTTTTGCTTAACAGTATTTCCGCCATTTCTTTCTGGGTGTTCCTCATTTTCAGAAGCACCATATAATCAATAAAAAAGTCAAAGCACCTTTTCAGATTTGACTGTAAATTTTGCAGAAGGGATGTGAACTTGCTAAGAGCCAAGTAATACTCATTTCTTGCATCAAATGGGATGTCTCCCTTTCCTGATAGAAACTGCACCATGGGTTTTAGAAACGATACGTTGTCTTTGTGGAAAAAAGGAGTAAGCTGAAGGATCTGGATAGTGTATAGACCGACTTCTATTTCACCAAAGAAACCGGCTGTGTTATACGTGTCATACCTCCTCTGGGACTTCTGTGCTGACCACGCCTCGGTTTCGTAGTTTTTACTGTCAGTTTGCTGTTGGGATTCTTTGAAAGCTCCTGAGGCCTTTTCAGCAGCTTCTAGTAAATGCGTTAGATCTTTAACAGTAATGACCTTACTGTTTTTGTTTTCATCCAGCCACCACTTGATTTTACTTTTGTAGACCTGACCGAGGGTGTCTGAGATGTAGGAGTTTTTAGGTGCTCTGGTTTTGGCCAGATTTGCCCATTCGAGAGCAGTCTCGAAGTTCTTCTCTTTAATGTAGAAGTGTCTTGCCAAGGCTTGGCAAATGAATGCATTTTGTGGAAATCGACTGCATCCTGCCACCAAGACCTCTTCAATTTCCTTGTTCTGTAAATCTTCGATTAATGGGGAAAACAAAGTGTCTGTTTCATCTCCATACTCCTTGCGCCGTCTTGTAAGCAAAAGGGTTTGCACATCGTGTTGAAATTTGTCTCTTCCTATACCGAAATCATAGAATAAGTTCTCATTTAATAGCTTCAATGCAATGTGATGTTTATTTAAGTGATGTTTTTCCTCTAGTTCTTTGAGACAGTGAATGGCAATCAGTGGGTGAATGATACGCACACCCGTGTATCTCCCATATTCTGAGACTTCTGTGTTTATTAGAAGGGTAGAATATGTGCCCATTTTATCTTCCAGGCTCTCAGGTTTCCAGGGTGTACTCGTGTAAATGATTCCTAAAAATATTTCGCACTGTGACACTGAAATTGTGGAATCCGTAACGTAAGTGTTGAGCAGGGCCAGGAAGGAAATGAGCTGTGCTTCCTTGCTGTAGACATCCTGTCCTTTCAGGATGTTCCTGACCACATTTTTAATATATGTCTCATCAAAATTGCGTTTCAGGATCATAAAGGAATAAAAGTTTTCACAGTCTTTGTGCTGCTTTTCAATTTCCTCTAGTTTGGCCCCAAAAGCTCTCTGTTCCTTGGGAGAAAGTTGGTATTTTAGTGCAATACTGTCTATTAATTTTGCACTTTCATCTGGATTCTGGGATCTCATGCAGTTTAAGATAATAACCAATGTTTTTTCATATCGCAAGTCCTTCTCTGCTAAAATGGAATTGATGGCGTTCTGTAGAATGTAGACATTTTCCTGTTCTTCAAAATCGTCTACCAGGAGGAGCACAGGAATGTAATCCTGATGGCAGGTTGCCTTATAGGTGATCAGATTGGTCACTTGTTCCCCAATTTCTGCAAAATCAGTTGCTTTGTTTTTGAGCACAGCACATCTGAAGTTTTTCTTTAGGTCCCAGAGAACATGCATAGCCAATGTGGTGCCCCCACAGCCTGGATGATGATAAAGATTGATGATTTTTGCAAATACTGGTCTTGGAGACTCTGCCCAGCACTGTATTAAATTCTTAAGTTCTTTGTAACTGTCCCTTTTCACAAAAGCTGAAGAATAATTTTCCGAAGAAAAATAAAAATTCCACCAGGACACTTTGCCACCTCGATAGAAGTGTTCTTCTTTGGATTTCTTAAACTCTAGGAATTTAGATTCATCTTTCTCTATGTCTGTGTCCCTACACTCATTTTCACAGAGGATTTCCAGAGCGGTCAATGTATCTTCCTTCTTCTTTTCCAGGATGACTGACGAAGATCCACGTGAAGGCAAAAACCTTCTTGATGACCGAGTCACTGATTTGAGTTTAAGGATAGTACTGTTTACGAGTTCTAGATTTAAAGTGGAAATGCTGTGGTTTGATAATTCATGTGCCACCGTCAGTCTTGTTTTCAGTAAGTCTTTCCACCGTTGATAAATCTGTGAGTTTACACAGATGCACAACATATTTTCCATTCCTTTGAGAGCTTGGTAGAAAGCACAGAACGTTTCAATGAGTGGATCTCCTGGACTTTCCACTGAAGACAGTAGTAGAAACACAACTAAAAATTTCCCTCTTGCCATTATATTTTCATCGGTGAGAAAGAAAATCAGTTTCCTGACCTCAGAAGCTCTTTCTCTCTGCCACAGATGTGGTTCGAAAGGTTTGTAAGTCTCACTTGTCAAGTCTGATCTCCCGTTGCAGAAGACCCAGCTGGGCTGCTGATAAAGATTCAGGGTAGAAATCTTCTCTCTCAGGCTACTCGTCTTGTCTTCATACTGACTTGGAAAGTGAAGGTTGGCTACTCGGCTTTCTTTGTAAGCTTTGACCACTCCATTGATCCCAGATTCAGGATCAAACTCCAACACAGCAAACCACTTGATTTCCTTTAGAAAATCTAAGTGCTTTGTTTGGTTTGGATGGCATTTGTTTGTTACAAGAATGTACCAGCTGTAGTATGAGTTATCCAGCGAGTCCCGGTTTCCTATGAGAAGCTTCACCAGCTTTAGTCCTTCACTCTCCTTCTTAGTTGCTTTCCGTCCATATTCTTCTTCAGCCTCTTTTCTAGATGCTACCAGTGACTTTAAATTTTGTGTAAATGCTTTGAAATCTGGATCTCGTTGCTTGGCGTTGGCGAGGATATCCCTGGAGCTAGCCCCTTCTCTTATAAACAGTGAATATTCTTGGTTTTGCTTCCACACGTTATCTTTACAACTCTGCATCTTAATGTAGAAATACTTTTCTTTACACACCGAGTGTTTTGGAATAACGTCGACTTCAATGACAAATCTGTCGGATGGCATGCTGTTCTGCAACAGGACTTCCACAAACCTTGGCTCCCGAATACACTTCTTGGCTTCATTGATGTCACTGTCTTCAAAATACTTTTTGATCATTACGTTGAAGTGATTAATTAGGACATCCTTACTGCTGATTTTTACACCAACAATTTCTCCATGGGGTTTGTCCTTGACTCCAAAATGAATAGTACCGTTGGTGCGTGAATTCATGCAAGCTGATGCAAATCGGAAGACTTCATTGCTAAATTTCATTTTAATATCTTCTTCTGTGGCTGCTGCTGTATTTGTGAGAGCTTTGAACTCATGTATTGGGTCGATGAGATTGAGTGGTCCCGTTTCAGGTTGTAGAATGTAATGTTCTATATACCGCTGGCTGTCATGAAACTGATCAAAAGGGTATGGCATACAAGTCAACCGTTCGGTTTGTATTGCATTTTCCTTGTCTGCAGCATTCACTGTTTCATCCAACGCTTTTTCCTTCAAAGGAATTGATTCTTGGACTTCAATTTCTGTAGTCTCTCTCAGATCATGATCAATATTGAGAGACATGGATGTTCCCTCTTCTTTACTTTTCTGTTTTGGCTTTTTTTGCTGTTTTTTCTTGGATGGTTTTATATTATCTAATTTTCCAGAATCCTGATTGTCACTTTCAGGGGAACTATTAAGTAGTTTGTTACACGCACGTTTTATCAAAAGTGCTGGACCCCGTGGTAACCCCATTTCTTTCAGATCATCTTCTGTTAATTCCTTCAGGACCAGCCCTGTCACTTCTTCATTCAGTAAAATTTGGCCATATTTCTCATCAACCTTAAGATCTTCAGTTACCCATTTTTTCACATGCTCTTTGGTCCAGTCTTTGACCAGTTCTGGTAGGGTTACTTGTTCATTCATATCAAAGCTTTGCCTTTCTTCCTTGGAAAAAGTAACAAAACGAATATTTTAGCATTATACTTTATCATTGGAATTATGTAGTCAATTGTATATATAATTTCTTGCAAACATTATAAAAGAGTACTTTAATAAACTTTTGGCAAAAGTGGAATTAAACATAAGTTTGAGGGAAGAGGTTTAGTGCAGCAATTAAGCTGCCAGCTGTTAAACCAGCTGAGTAACTGGGTTGAAGTCTTGGCTCCACTTTGGGTATTAGGCTCTTTCCAATGCATACCCTGGGAGGCAGCAGGTGATGGCTGAAGTAATTTGGTCCTTACCACCTGCTATGGGAGACCCAGACTGAGTTCCAGGCTTCTGGCTTCAGCCTGACCCAACCCTGGCTATTGTGGACATATGGGAAACAAACCAGTGGAAGAAAGATCTCTGTATCTCCATCTCTGTCTATCTCTCTCACGGTCAGTCTGCTTTTCAAATAAAAATGAAAATAAATAAAAATTTAAAAATAAGTATGCTTTAAAAATATTTTATTTTGGTTGAAAATTTTTTGAAATCCAATTCATAGTTTTTCCATAATACATATTCTCAATGACCTTCTTGAAGATCCCTTATCAATGCCTGGACTTCACACTTTTTTTTTTAAAGACTTATTTATTTTGGAATGCAGAGAGCAATATCTCCCATCTACTGCTTTACTTCCCGTGGGTCAGGGTTGGTCCAGACAAAAGCCAGGAGCCCAGACTTCTATCTCGGTCTCCCACTTGGGTGGAAGGGACTAATGTACTAGAGTCATCCTCTGCAGCCTTCCCAGGTACATTAGCAGAAGCTGGGTTGGAAGTGGATCAGCTGGGACTGGGATATCATCACAGGTAGCAGTTTAGTTCACTGTACCACAACTGTGGCCCCTCACACTATTTTTTTTTTTTTTGGTAATAAAATAAGCTTACCCTTTAACTCCATTTCCACGAACCTTTGAAATACCCATGTACATGAAACACTGCACAAGTTTGGCTCTTAAAGCCTGCTTGATATTTAACTTTTTACATAGTCCCAATCAGTGCCCTTATTTCTTAGGTAATGGTAAGTGTCATCATGAAATAAGCAGTAGCTGCTAACTATGTGACACACCTTTTTCTTTTTTAAGATTTAATTGTTTGAAAGACAGTCACAGGGCTATGCCACAGCATCTGCCCCATGCTGTGCCCTTTGGTCCTTGTAATAATTTCCCCTTTTAGCCTTCACTTGGTAAAATTTGGGTCGTTGTAAGTTAAAAACAGAATCGTAAGTAACACAGAAATTGTTCTGGAACATGGCAGAATATTGTAAATAAAATTTAAAATTGGCTAAGTGGAGGTTTGTTGGGGAACAGGAAACCTTGATCCCAGCTTGGAAGCTGCCATGTTTGTTACATGGTCACAAAGCAATTGGTGGGGGCCGGCACCGTGGCTCACTTGATTAATCCTCTGCCTATGGTGCCGGAATCCCATATGGGCTCCGGGTTCTAGTCCCTGTTGCTCCTCTTCCAGGCCAGCTCTCTGCTGTGGCCCGGGAGGGCAGTGGAGGATGGCCCAAGTCCTTGGGCCCTGCACCCCATGGGAGACCAGGAGGAAGCACCTGGCTCCTGGCCTCTGAACGGCGCAGCGCCAGCCATAGCAGCCATGTGGGGAGTGAACCAACGGAAGGAAGACCTTTCTCTCTGTCTGTCTCTCTCTCACTGTCTAACTCTGCCTGTCAAATTAAAAAAAAAAAAAAAAAGCAAAACGAAAAAACAAAGCAATTGGTGAAGACATTGCCTATTGTCTGTTGAAACTCAAGCTGTTGGGCCGTAAGGCTGGTGCTTTTGGGGCCTTGGCCATGATTTTTTTTTTTTTTTTTTTTTGTTAGCTAATTCTTGTGGCTTCCAGACTGGACTGGCCTGAATGAAATTATATAGGGAAAATGGTATGAGCTTTTTTTTTTTTTAACTTTGTTAAAATAATTCCTGCCCCAATTATTGATCTGAGACTGATGAAGGCCCTACAACTACGTACTTAGCTGGATTGCAAAAACTAAAAATTCTGAATCCATTGGCTGAGAGAGTACAGTGGTGTTTTCCAGCATTAGTGCTTTTAAAACCTTGCCTGGGTGGATGTAGTGTGTAGGCCTAGTTGAGAGCAGGGGTTTTCAGAGTGTGATCTCCAGGCCAACAGCATCAGTCACTGTGAAACTGGCTAGAAATGACGTTCCCAGGCCCCACCCCGGGCCTACTGAATCAGAGTGAAAAGGAAGAATCACTAAAGTGGTTAAGTAAGAAAATGAGACAGTGAGCAAATTTTAAGTATAAATAGATGAAAAGTATTAAGAATCAATCCAATAAAAGTATTAAAGTGAATTATGAAAAGAGAAAATATATTTTAAAAGATTTTTGAAAGATTTAAGCTACCTAGGTGTTAAAATGTTAATATTGGGGTGAACATTTTGTATAGCAGTTAAGACACTGCTTGGGACACCTGCATTCCATAGGTTTGAGTCCTAGCTCTGCTTCTGATCCAGCTTCCTGCTAATGTGGATGCTGGGAAGCAGCAGATGGTGGCTCAAGTACTTGAGTCCTTGCTACCTACATGTGAGACCAAGATGGAGTTCTGGGCTCCTTGCTTTGGCCTGGCCCAGATCCAGTGGTTGCAGGCATTTGGAAAGTGAATCAGCAAATGGAAGCGCACTCTCTGCCTCTGTCTCTGCCTCTGTCTCTGTCTCTGTCTTTCTTTCTGTATAGCTCTGGCTTTCAAATAAATAATAGTAAATAAAAAACAAATTAATGTATACTAATAACCTCTAGCTCAACTGAAAATTGATTCATCTGCATTTGGGTTTCTTGCAAAAGCTGGCCTGGAAGTTCTCCGTGAGGTCAAGCTCAGCTGGGGCCTCAGCCTCTCTGCAGGCCGGCAGCCACAGGGCATGGCAGCTTCCACTCGTCTTGGTGAGACTTTTCCTGGTGCTGTTAATGTCATGCTTCGGGCCGGCGCCGCAGCTCAGTAGGCTAATCCTCCGCCTGCAGTGCTGGCACACCGGGTTCTAGTCCCGGTCAGGGCGCCGGATTCTGTCCTGGCTGCCCCTCTTCCAGGCCAGCTCTCTGCTGTGCCCCAGGAGTGCAGTGGAGGATGGCCCAGGTACTTGGGCCCTGCACCCCATGGGAGACCAGGAGAAGTACCTGGCTCCTGCCATCGGATCAGCGCGGTGCACCGGCTGCGGCGGCCATTGGAGGGTGAACCAACGGTAAAGGAAGACCTTTCTCTCTGTCTCTCTCACTGTCTACTCTGCCTGTCAAAAAAAAAAAAAAAGTCATGCTTTGAAAAGGACTTCTCCAGACTCATGCAGATATTATTTAAACCCCCAAGACTTATGTTGCTGGATTGTTGTGAATTGTTGATGGGTTAAGAATGGAGACTTGATCTAATATGGCACCTGGGAGGTTGGCCTGGTGGGAGGTCTTTAGGTCATGGGGCCTTGCCCTGGAGGGGTGGTTCTTGTGAGGCTGATTGTATAAGCCACGTGTGCTTCCCGGCTGCCTTTGCTTCCAGCCTCACCAGGTGATCACCACTGCCAGCCTCCATCAGACGCCAGAGCAGTGAGTCTGGAGCGCAACTCTCCAAACTGTGAGTCAAAATAAACCTGCTCACTTCCTGCGAAGCACCTCATATGTATTGTAGTTAAAGCAACAGAAAGCTGACCAATATACAGGTGCCTTGCATTTCCTAAGTCACTGCTGGTTTCAGTCTGTAAGACACAATTAGTCCTGGGCCAATGAACAAAACTCTGACCAACTGGGCACAAAGAACACTCTAAACATATTTCAGATGATCCACTCTGTTCATTTGTAAAGTAGCTGGAACTGGTTTTAGAGATGCCACAAGAATTCATGCATATATTGCAAGCAGAGGAAAGTCTTATTTTGCCTTGACCTGTGTTGTTTACTCATTCAACAAATTCTGAGTTCCTATTCTGTGCCAGAAAGACAGTGGTAACAAAAGATATGTCGGGTTCTTTCCTGACATTTACAGTCTGGGGGAGAAGATGAAAGAAAATAAGCCACACACATGCAAGTGATAATGGCAGGTTATGTTAGTGCTTTGTGTGTGATACAAGGATGGGCATAAGCTGGGTTATGTGAGGACGAGGAGAGCATCACCAGGGGAGTGGGAACCTTGGGCAGGTGAGGTTAAGGGGGTGTAGCTGGAGTGGGGGGAGGAGTCAGGTGAAAGGAGGAAGCCCAGGGCACAGAGTTAAGGGAGCAAGGAACGGCTTACCCAGGGGCCCTTCCAAGGGCCTAATGAGTCTAGGAACATGGTTGGCAGTGCTCCAGCCTGCCATGGGTGTTCCTGGGCAGGGGGCACTACACCCCAGTAGGTGACTCCTGATGCTGGGAGGCCCATCCAGGAGGATTCTCTCTCCTCTGCATGGGCCCTAAGTGTCATCTTAGGTAAGGCTGAACGGAGGTGCCCTGCCTTACCTGTGTGTAAACACTATAGGGAACCAAATGTAGAAATAGTTATTGGATCTATTCTTTTAAAAAGATTTATGTTTTTTATTGGAAAGACAGAGGGGGGAAGATGATAGAGAAAGAGATATCTTCCATCTGCTGGCTTATTCCCCAAATAGCTACAACAGCCAGGGCTGGGCCAGGCCAAAGCCAGGAACCTAGGATTTCTTTGAAGTTTCCCACAGTGCAGGCACCCACGTACTTGGGCCATATTCCACTGCTTTCCCAGGTGCATTAGCAGGGAGCTGGACTGGGAGTGGAGTTGATGCCCAAATGGGATGCCAGTATCACAGGCAGAGGATTAATCTGCTATGCCACAACACTCCCCTCCATCTATTCTTAATGAAATGTTTTTTGTAGAAAATGCTGAGTACTACACTCCTTTAATGTGAGATGTTAAAAATATGATTTTGCTATGTGGACTTTTTTAAAACCCTAGTGGTAAAATATTTCATATTTGGAGCACTTGTTAGATACTTGATTTTTATACATCTTGGCCTCCTTTTATAGGCAGGTGAAGGGCAGAGGACACTCAGGCCCTTTGATACTGTTTCCTTCCTAATAGACAAGCAATTGGTCCTTCCACTGCCCTGGCTGTCACCTCATTGACTACCTCTTGTTTAATGACCTTGACTTCAACCCATCTTGACGCCCATGGTCACATACTCGATCCTATCATTCATTACCATTATAGGTTGAATTGTGATCCTCTAAATTCTTGTTCTGAAGTCCTAAACTCTAGTACCTCAGAATGTGACCTTATTTGGAGAAAGGTTATTGCAGACGAAATTAGTTAATAGGAAGTCTTCAAGGTAGACCCTAATCTAATATGACTGATATCCTTATGGGCACAAAGGCCCATCTGCTGGAGAGTAGTATGCTAAGATTAAGGCAGACATCAGGGTGGTATTTTTTTTGGTTTTAAAATATGAAAATGATTCTGATTTTTTTTTAAAAAATTGAGAGGCAGCAAGGCAAAAACAGAGAGAGAAAGAGAGAGAGAGAGAGAGAGAGAGAGATCTCCCATTTGTTGGTTCACTCCCCAATGCCTACAAAGGCTGGGGCTGGACCAGGCCAAAGCTAGAAGCCAAGAACTCAATCTGGGTCTCCTACATGGGTGGCAAGGACCCAAGTACATGATCCATCACCTACTGCCTCCCAGAGTGTACAATAACAGGAAGTTGGAATCAGGAGCGGAGGCAGGACTTGAACCTAGGCATTCTGCCCTGGGATGTGGGCATCAGTGTAAGCTAAAGCCTGGCCCTTGAGTTTCTCTTCCCTGAATGGATTGTTCACACTCCTAACAAGGTCAACCTGTCTCCCTTCTTCCATCTTTCCACGTCCACTGGATATCCCTCTTCAGCTGAAACTGTGCGACTATCTTCTGTTAAACCAGACTCTTTTGAATCTACTTCTGTCCCACATTTCTGCTGTCCTTTACAGTATAAATGTTTTACTTGCTGTTTCTTGTTCTCTTCTTCCATTCCCTTTAGAACTCCCTCCAAGCAAGCTTTGGCTTCCCCTCTTCCCTGAACTGCACTTGACACTGACCTGGAAGTGGCATTTGAAACAGATGATCACTCTCTTTTCCCTGAGACACTCTCTTCCCAGGTTCTTGGGATGCCACACTCCCCTCAGGTTCCTTCTCCCTTCCTGGCCCATCCTTTTGTGTCCTCTGCTGGCTCCTGCTTGCCTCTCACCTCTAAATGATGAGTGTCTCTTAGGCTCAGCCTCTGGACACCTCCTCTCGACCCCGAATTTCTCCCTGTAGATCTCACCCATCTTGTATTTAAATAAAGCCACTGTGCCCAGTGCTTCCTAAATCAATATCAAGAGCTTCCACTTCTCCTGTGATGCCATATATTTGCCTTCTCTTTCTCCACCCAAATATCAAACAGCTCTTATAAATTAATGACCAAAATCCTCTCCTGATATCTGTGCCTCCCACCCCAAACCTACCGCTCCCACAGTCTTATCAGTTAATGAAACTTGCCAATTATTCAGGGGGGAAACTTGGCAGCATCTTTCATCTTTGCTGGCTTCCCTTTCTATATACCTCACACACAGCAGGTTTAGCAAATACTCTCAACCTCACCTTCACAGTATATCCAGAATTCTACCATTTCTCACCATCTCTTTGTACTTCCCGGTATAAACCATCATCTCTTATCTCGATTATTTTTACCTGGTCTCTCTGCTTCTGGCTTTGCCTACCCCCACCCCAACTCATTCATTCTGTTTTCAACACAGCAGCTAACATGGGCGTGTTCAGATGTAAGTGTGCTCATGTCAGTCTGCTCAGAACCCTCCAGAGTCTCCCGTGAGAGAAGGTCAAAGCCTGTGGATAAGGTGCTGTGCGATCTGCCCGCCCTCTTTCTGTCTCCAGAGCACCTGCTCATCCTGCCCACGCCACCACTTTCCTGGCTCTTCCTTAAGTGTGCCAGGCCTGCTGCAGCAGCAGGTCTTCACGCTGCTCCTTCTGCTCGGCATGTGCTTCCTCCAGGCACTGACAGTCCACATCCCCTCTTCAGCTCTTTTCTACTCAGATCCATAGGGCCTTTCTTGGCTTTCTTTACCAAAGTTGCAGCCTGTTCTTTGCCACTCCTCCCAACTCACCTGCTTGTTTCTCATCTTAGGATTTACACACCTTGTACTTTCATTACTTTCTCAGTCTGTCTCAGCAACTAAGACACAACCTCTCTGAGAACTGACACATTTGCCTCTCGTTCATTGGCAAGTTTACCAGAGTCCGACATAAAATTAGCATGCAGTGATTATTTCTCACCTGAGGAAATTAAGATTTTTTGATGTAGTGAAATAATAATGGAATTCTTGAAAACCTACGAGTTAGCAATGGAATAAAAGACTATGGAATATGTTTATTTCTGTCAGCTATTAGACCCAAGTCAACTCTGGCTTCCAGGTCAGAGTGTCTTAAGAGAAACGTTTGTACACGTACATCCTTTGCCTGCCATGTGGATTACAGGGACCTGCAGTCCTGCTGTGGATTCTGGGTTCCTAACACCCCTGTGAGTTTTGATGAAGGAACAGGTTTCCCATCCAGGTTATGCCTGGAGGAGGTCTCTTGCCACGTGAGGTTCTCAGTTGGCCAGGGCCCCAAGGCTTCAGCACTGCCCTTTGCTATGTCGTGCTAGGCCAAAGGAGCCTCCCCTAGAGATGCCCCTACCTCACTCTGCAGCCCAGCTTTGCACAGGTCAGAGGTGATCTCCTAGCCAGAGTCCTCTCCAGCGATTGGAACTGCCCACCCTCTTTTTGGGGGGCACTCCAAAGATTATAAGAGAAGGCTGGAGATTTTTCTCTGCTGCTTTAGCTAGTGATTACAGCAATTCAGATAGATCCCCAACTCTACCAGTAGCAGGTTTTAAAGACTGACTGCTTATTGGCCCCTATATGCCCAGACACATATGTGTGCATGTGTGTTTAGTGCGGGCTAGCAGAGGGCTTGACTTTGTGTCAACTCACAGAGTGATGACTTCCCCCTCCCTTTCTCCTTCGTTGTTTGAATATTGCCAAGAATTAACATGGAGATGGAACCACCCTTCTCAAACAGGGTGACTGGCTTCGTGTTGCCCAAGCCTACTGTCTTTTACCTCTACCTTATTTGAAAGGTTCCCTCATTGTTCAAACATGAAGACACCTGTATATCATCAAAGAATTTCTCCAGTTGCCTACCCCTGGTGGTAGCTGAGAAAAGACATATGATTGGCTGCTACTACACCAGGTTGATGTTACTTTCACACAACTTTGGCATCCTGTCAATTTTAAGAGCATCTTATCTGATCTATGATCTGTATTTGGCTTGGGCTATGTATTTTATTCAAAGTAACAACAATTTGGACTTTGACACAACTCCTTGGCCCTTTCTGTGTCTTGAATCTGACACATTGGGCCATTGATGTATTTTCTTGAGCATGAGGGATCTTTAGGTTGAACAGAAACTGCGTAAAGTGTACAAAGTAGGAGGGGTTGTGATCAGAAGTGACGTCATGCCGGCGCCGCGGCTCACTAGGCTAATCCTCCGCCTAGCGGCGCCGGCACACCGGGTTCTAGTCCCGGTCAGGGCGCCGGATTCTGTCCCGGTTGCCCCTCTTCCAGGCCAGCTCTCTGCTGTGGCCAGGGAGTGCAGTGGAGGATGGCCCAGGTGCTTGGGCCCTGCACCCCATGGGAGACCAGGAGAAGCACCTGGCTCCTGGCTCCTGCCATCGGATCAGCGCGGTGCGCCGGCCGCAGCGCGCCAGCCGCGGTGGCCATTGGAGGGTGAACCAACGGCAAAGGAAGACCTTTCTCTCTGTCTCTCTCTCTCTCACTGTCCACTCTGCCTGTAAAAAAAAAAAAAAAAGAAGCAGGAGGTGACGTCATGATTAGCTTCCATCTCCTCTCAGCCAGCATCTTTCCCATTCATAAGTTAGGGGAATTGGACCAGAACCAGTGTTGTCTTGATGGTGGTTGTTTGCTTATGTTCTGCTCCTTCAAAAGGAGCATACCTGGACCCTATGTGTTTAGCATGGGGAAAGGTGCAGCTACTCTGGTTGCAGCCAGGGAGAAGAGTTCTAGACCTTAGCCCTTGTATTCTGTTCCAGGATCATTCTGCACCCGGAGTGCTCTGACTGGTACTTGATTTTACAATGATTCTTAAAGGGCTTTCAGTGTTTACCTCTGGAGGCTGAGCAGAAAGGATCAAAGTGGTACCCCCAGAGCCAGCACTGGTGCCCACCCCATTGCTAGGAGTCTTGGCCTCAGTTACAGTACAGGTCTCCCTGCCTCCAGGAGAGGTCGCCTGGCACCAGGCCGGAGCGTAGCAGGGCCCCACCCTGCTCTTATGCTCAGGGAAACTGAAACTACAAAGCAAGTTAGTTTTGTTTTCCTGAAGTACACACTACAGTAATATATTTCCTCATAGCATCTCTGTGCAAGGAAGTTGCTAAGACGGGTCTTGTACACAATGATGATTAAGCTTTGAGGGGTTTCCCTTTAATTAGATAGGAACTTTTCACATCATCTTAAGCCACACAACAGAGTGTCTGCAGAGCTGTAGCTGGCTGCAGTGTTCTCTTCGTTCAGTATGCTTGGATTCCTGATCCTCTGCTCTGTAGTTCACCTTCGCCTCCCAGCCTCATCCCGAGACTCCCCCCTCCACAGCTGCTCTGCAATCTCCCCAAGCCTGCTGGAAACTTTTCTCTGAAGCACTCTGCAGTCAGCCCAAGTCACATGTCCTGACATGTCAGTACAGAAATGAGAGCCGTGCTATCTCTCATTCCTTTAAGACTCATTTTCAAGCAATTGCTTATTGATGCGTTAATGTATATTCATTTTTAAAGATCCACATTTGCTTCCAGAATGAAGTTTTAAAGATAGATGGAAAAAAAGACAAGGTTTTAATGGTAACAAACTTACCAGGGCTTGTCTGAGAACGTCTACTTTTATATTAGGAACTTGAAATAAATCTTCACAAGGCTCTTTGAGCTGGAACTCAGTTCAGTTGCATTTTCTTGAGATTTTGCAATCACATCCCGTAAGTGACCTAAGAGGAAGTAAAGGTGTAGGCAGAACAGACTTAGTCCTAGTTCGGTCTGTCTGAGAATAAATCTATTGAGAATCTATTACATCAAGGAAATCAAATGCAATTGATTGAACCACTACCTTAAGAAGTGTTTGTGGAATAGATATTCCCCACTAACTCTCTACTAAGAAAACATTTAGAACCAAACGTTTAGAAAACTTTAAAGAGTAATGAAGAGAATGCCTCTCTCTTGCAGGGCATCTCTTCCTGTACTTAAATGCATTTAATGAAATAAGTAAACACCCAACAACAGCATAATCGTCCTTTTTCTCACTTCCCATATTCTGTAGTCCATCTGCAGCAAATCCAACGGGTTGTGTCTTCTGAATACATGTAGCATCTGACCACCCATTGTGACTCCCGCCTGCACCTGCACCTTCTTTCTCCCAGCAGTGTGCTGAGGGAACAGGAATAGCTCCTTCTCAAGTTTCCCTCTTGGGGCTCCTCACCCCTTCAGGGACTTTGCACAATTGCAGCCAAAGTGGCCCTATTACACCATAAATTACGTCATCCCAATGTGCTGTTTAGTGCTCCCCCACCCTGAATCCCCAGTTGACTCAGGGTAAGTGCTAAGTTTCTCGTTTTGAACCACAACGCCCCACGTGACCTGGTGCCTGCTGCCTCTGCCATTGCACCTTACTCCCAGATCTGTCTCTGAACCTGGTGCATCCCTCTGACCTCCTTCTTGTTCCTTGAGGCAGGTGGCACCTGCCGGGCTTCTGGCCAATGCTCTTCCTTGGAGACTTCCTCTCCTTGGACACCTCTAAGACATCCAGAGAGAGGGTGGACAGTAAAACAGCTGAAAGAGGACAACAGCTAAAGGAGAGAATGCCCCTGAGCTGGACAGAGTGAGTCAGCTTCCCAGAGCAGGGGCAGGGGTGGCATCAGCAGAGGGACCAGACCTTGGACATGGAGTGCCTACAGTGACCTGGGGCCACCTCCATGGACACTCCTTTACCTTCATGAAGCTTTTCATTAACTGTCACCTTCCAGGTGACGCCCTGCCCAGCCAATTTGTTGAAATCGATTCCCCCCACACACATACATTTTCTACCCCTGAGTCTGGCTTTGTTTTTTCTTTTCTTTCTTTCTTTCTTTCTTTCTTTCTTTCTTTCTTTCTTTCTTTCTTTCTTTCTTTCTTTCTTTTTTTTTAAGATTTATTTATTTATTTGAGAGGTAGAATTAGAGAGAGAAGGAGAGACAGAGAGAGAGACAGAATCTTCTATCTCCTAATTTACTCCCCAGGATGGCTACAGCAACCAGGGCTGGGCCAGGCTGAATCTACGTGCCAGGAGCTTTATCTGGGTCTCCCACATGGATGCAGGGGCCCAAGCACTTGGGCCATCTTCTGCTGCTTTCCAGATGCATTAGCAGGGAGCTGGATTGGATGTGGAACAGCTGGGACTTGAACTGGTGCCCATATGGGATGCTGGCACTGCAGGTGGCTGCTCTACCTGCTGCATCACAACTCCAGCGCCAGTTTTTTCTTCATCTACTGAGCACTTACAAGTATTCCCCATGTCTCTACTTGTTTATCTTGTTCATTTTTCCCACCCACTACTCTGTACATTTCATGAAGACAAGTATTGTACATTTTGTTTGCAATCTTATAGTATATAGTACATAATAGCTTCTCAACAAAAGATTGCCAAATGAGAGACATGTTTTCTTGGTGTGATAAAAATAGTAAAATTTTGAAAGCCCATGAGCTGGCATGTGTGTGAGTCGAATGACTTTCCTTCTCCTAGTGGGGCAATTATTCCCCTTGGCTGGAATCCCAGATAGAAATCTAGGAAGTCTCTTTCCTGTCATCTGGCCACAAGAATGAAAAGGCTGTTTTATCAAAAGTAAAGGGACAGGAATAAATATCTGCTGTTTTCTAGTCATTGTTTCCGAGCTTGCTGCTATGCCACTTAGAGCCCTGATTGAGGCTGTTTCTCATACAGGGTATGCCATGGAGGTGGCCCCCGGTCACTGTAGGCACTCCATGTCCAAGGTCTGGTCCCTCTGCTGATGCCACCCCTGCCCCTGCTCTGGGAAGCTGACTCACTCTGTCCAGCTCAGGGGCATTCTCTCCTTTAGCTGTTGTCCTCTTTCAGCTGTTTTACTGTCCACCCTCTCTCTGGATGTCTTAGAGAGGCTGTACTCCAGATTTCCTGTCTTAGTGAACACAGGACTCAACCATCTTGATATGAAGCAGCACAGTGGGAATTTACCTCTGTAGTCTATCTCTTCCTTTATTTCTTTGAAAGGCAGAGAGAGCGAGAGCGAGAGAGAGAGAGAGCGAGCAAGCAAGTGAGGCATCTGCCATCCACTAGGTCACTCCCCAAATGCCTGCAATAGTGAGGGCTTGGCCAGGAGAAAAGCAGGAGCCAGGGACTCCATCTGTCGCTCCCCCTCTTCGTGGAGGAACGACACTAAACCCTGCCTGGGCTTCATATCCGAGTCACGGCACCATTATGTCGCTCCCCCTCTTCGTGGAGGAACGACACAGGACCCTGCGCTGTTCTTTCGTCTGCTCGGCCCTCCCCGGGTTTGCTGCTGGTTCTTCCCGGGTTGGCTACTATCCCTTCCACCTCTGTGGAAGGGCAGTTCCCCCTGGCCGCATTCCCCACTTCCGCAGGGGAGCGGCACACCGCCGGCCGGCTCTCTGGGGGGCTGCACGGGTGTTCCTTCAGCTAGATGTTCCCCATAGATGTTCCTGGTGCATGCCGTCTCTCTCCTCCTTTATAGTCCTCCTCTGCCAATCCCAACTCGGCTGCCCACACGCCGAGTACGCTGCTCTCCAATCAGGAGCAAGTCCTACAGTTAATTGGTTGAACTGGAGGCAGCTGTGCGGAAGCTGTTTACTTCTCTCCCAGCGCCATATTGTGGGAGAGCAGATGCATAGAATAAGTCTTAATTCGAGTAACTTAGTCTAGTCCGGATTGCTCCCCACACCATCCAGGTATCCCACATGGGTGGCAGGGCCCCAAGTCTGTGGGCCATCATAAGCTGTCTTACAGGCACATTAGCAGGAAGTTTGATCAGATACAGAATATAGATGTCCCAAGCGGTGTCTTACCTCACTGCAACACAATGCTTCCCCCATCTAAGCCATCCCTTCTTTTTACAACTCTTGAGAGTCTATACGGCTGTTGTGAGTCTGTGTCTAGTTTAGAGGGTGCCACACAAGGAATTTGGTGCCACCTAATGGGAAAGCTTTCTTTCAATTAGTTTTGTTCACATTCTGCTGATAGAGATGATGGAGATCGAAATATTCTTTTTAGGCAGGATCACTGATTCTTGGTCCCCGTTTTATTTTGTTAAATGGCAAACTAAACAATACCCTACCTCAATGTGATATACTGCGCTCTTCAATAATATCTTAGGACCTATTATAATGTCAAATACTTCTCAGACCTGTCCCTCCATCATGATAGCCATTGTGAGCATGGAATGATTGGAATGTGTGGAATTCTGTAGAGCTTTCAAGATGGCTTGTACTTCAGTAATTTTAAGAGTGTCCACATGTATATAAATGACTTCAAAAATGTAAATTACGAAAAACCTATGCAGGGATTTCAAGTTATTTTTGCACTAAAATAAACATCTTTTTTTAGTTTCCATTTCTCCATGAACTTTCAGAAGTATCATGATATTGTTGGAACCAAGCAAAGATTGGTGTGGACCAGTTCTGAGAATGCTTTGACATAACTGTTGACCTCTTAGGGGGCTCTTAGTTTCCTGTTCTGAAACAGTTGTGAACCCAACTCATCTTATTATTAGTTAATTGTTGACAAAGGAGCTTCAGGATGTCATTCTCCAGGGGACTTCTCATTGTCTCCATGTTAAGCAGGAATGACCAAATCAGAACTCTTAGGGGCAAGAATGGGTGTCCACCCATGGCAGGGGGGGTCCTCAGCAGCACCCCAGGTCTCTATGTCCTGAGGGGTTGCTGTGCTCTCAAGGCTCTTAGAGCTGAGGGAGGGGGAATCCACTTTCTCGAGTCCTGGCTCTGGCCCAGGAAGGCGGTACACCCCCCTCCATGGTCTGACGAACCGAAACCACACACAAGCAAGTTAGTTTCGTTTTCCTGAAGTACAAGTTGAAGTTTTTTTTTTTTTCCCCACTGTTTAGCCAGATTGCTGTATCAGATGGGTGTGAATGAGAGACCTAAGTAGGTAGGTATTCCTTTCTGAGTAGGTATGTATTATCTCTGAGAAAGTTAAAAACTTTCAGTAACTCCTGAAGTTATGGAAGAGAGAAATCTGTGCAATTACATACGACCCCAGGTTCCCTTACGACCTCTGGCTTAAATTCCTGACCCTCTTTGTATTGTTTCTTTATCCTCTTTCCCCTTGCCCACCCAGGGGAGGACCAGGAACCCTCTCACTGTCCTAACTGGTTCTCATAGTCCTAATTGTCGTGCATGGTCCATTTCTTTGCAGAAGAGCATTTGTAAAGTTAGTGTCAGTTCAATACACTGATTATTTCTTCAATACACTAGTGGTTCTAATTAATACTTTCACAAGTGCTATTTATGTACAAACACCTATTTGTATAAAAAGTACATCTGGAATTTTAAAAAGTAGCTGTTCCCTCATAGGCACAGAGAAGACAAGTTTAATAGTTCAGAACTTACCAGAAGTTTCCTGAAAAATTCTTTCGACATCAGAAACTTGAAGCAGATCATTTTAATCTTTGCTTTCTCAATCCTCTTCCAATGGCTGGGCGATGCGTGACTGTAAGGGTCCTTATTAAAAAGCTGAGCCGCTGAGTGTGAGGTTTTCTGGTCCCCGAGGCTCTGGCTCTTGGGGCGGGTGTGTGAGGGCTCCAGGGCAGCAGCAGAATGAGGAAGTGATGATGCAGGGAGTTTCACTTTTGCTTGAGAACAAATATCTGGAAAGGATGCAAATTATGAGGCAATATCACAGAAAACCATCAATTCATTTGAACTACTGCATAGAAATGGTTGACCAGACAGATTTTAAGTCAGAGAGTTTAGAAATTAGGGGAACAAAACCAGCTACAGTGCAAAGTGTATAGAAATACTAGAAAGACCATTGCAGTCTCTATGTGATATAAGTGGCTGTTATGTGTTGAAGTGTGTCCTCCCTATATTTGAATGTTACAGTTGCAACCCTCAGTACTGTAGAATGTATTTGGAGATAAGGTTTTTAGGGAGGTAATTAAGTTGAAATGTGGTCCCTAGTGTGAGTATCCTTATAAGGAGAGGGAATCGGAACACAGATGTATGGAGAGATGACCACGTACACCCACAGGAGAAGGACAGCTGTCTGAAGCCAAGAACAGAGGCTTTGGAAGAAACCAGCCCTGGTCATAGCTTGGGCTTGAACCTCCAGCCTCCAGAATTAAACCACCTAGTCTGCTGTACTTTGGTATCCCTACCCTAGGAAACTAATTCAGTGCTCCTACATTCTCCTGCTTGAAGGGTCACCAGTGTATTTTGAAAACTAAAACTTCATTTTTTGCTTTTAGGATATAATGGATATTTTTGGTAACTTGGCTTTGGTGAGGGTATATTGGGTGTATGCATATATCTAGACTAATCCAGATATATACATTAAATGTGTATAATTTTTAAACATAAATTATATGTCAATAAAGCTAAATGTCATTATTTTTTCCATTATCAATATAATCAAAGTTCATTTTTTAGAAGATTTATTTATTTGAAAGTCAGAGTTACAGAGAGAGAAGAGAGAGAACTTCCATCTGCTGGTTTGCTTCCCAAATGGTTGCAATGGCTGGGGCTGGGCCAGGATGAAGCCAGAAGCCAGGAGCTTCATCTGGGTCTCCCATGTTGGTGCAGCGGCCCAAGGTCTTGGACCATCCTCCACTGCTTTTCCAGATGCATTAACAGGGAGCTGGATCAGAAGTGGTGCAGCCAAGACTCACATCAACACCCATAAAGGATGCTAGCACTGCAGACGGCAGCTTTACCCTGAAAGTTCATTTTCAAGGTTAACAAATACAGAATATACAAAGAAAGGGAGAAAAACTGCATTATCCAAACTCAATCTCATTTTTCTATTGTTTGCTTCTTTTTATTTTTTCTAGACTTTTTCTTTTTTTTTATTGACAGGCAGAGTGGACCGTGAGAGAGAGATAGAGAGAAAGGTCTTCTTTTGCCGTTGGTTCACCCTGGCTGCCGTGGCCGGCGTGCTGTGACCAGTGCACTGTGCTGATCTGAAGGCAGGAGCCAGGTGCTTCTCCTGGTCTCCCATGGGGTGCAGGGCCCAAGCACTTGGGCCATCCTCCACTGCACTCCTGGGCCATAGCAGAGAGCTGGCCTGGAAGAGGGGCAACCGGGACAGAATCCAGCACCCCGGCTGGGACTAGAACCCAGTGTGCCGGCACCACTAGGCGGAGGATTAGCCTGTTGAGCTGCGGCACCGGCTTCTAGACATATCTTTAAAATACAAATTTAGGGGGTGAAAAGATGTTCCTTGCAACACCTTTATCCCATGTTGGAGTCCTGGCTCTGCTTTTGATTCCATCTTCCCGCTAATGCGCAAGCACTTGGGTCCCTGCCACCTATGTGGGAGAGCCAGACTGAGTCCTGGTTCCTGGCTCTGGCCTAGCCTAGCCCTGACTATTGTGGCTATTTGAGGAGTGAACAGTAGACAGACAGTCTCTCTCTGAACAAGTTGAAGCTACTCTACTATCCTGATCTCCCCAAGTCTTTGAATCCTTTCTTCTACATTAAACCAAGGTGTGTCTGTCATTTCCAAGTCATTCATTGTGGGTCATTTAAAAAATTTATTTCATTTCTTTGAAATTCACACACACACACACACACACACACACACACAGAGGGAGGGAAGGGAGGAGGGAGAGATCTTCCATCTGCTGGTCTGCTGGTTCACTCCTCAAATGGCAGCAATGGCCAGTCTTGTCCTAGGCTGAATCCTGGAGCCAGGAGCTTCTTTCAGGTCTCCCACATGGGTGCAGGGGTTCAAGCACTTGGGCTATTTTCTACTGCTTTTTCAGGTACATTAGCAGGGAGCTGGAGCAGTGGTGGAGTAGTTGGATCTCCAACAAATGCCCTTATGGGATACTGGCGTGGCAGGCAGTGGCTTAACCTACTATGCCACAGCGCTGGTCCCTAGAATAACTTTATTATATGAGATATCATATGATATCAGAGAACCCACTATGTGTTGATGTTTCCTGGCAACTCAGAAGAGTATTCTCTTTTTTTAAGGCAACAGGGAATGCACTGACATAGAGCCACCAGTGTCTTTGAGAAGCTCAATGATGGTGTCTGCTGAGGGCCAGGGGTGACCATAGATGGTACAACTACAAAACTAGACTCAATAAGGATGACAGCACTTTGAGATGATAGCATCTCAGGGGCAGTGTGAAGCTTTTCAGCTTGATATAATCACATTTGTCAGTTTTGGCTTTGGTTGCCTGTGCTTCTGGGTTCTTTTGCAAGAAGTCTCTGCCTGTGCCAATGTCCTGTATGATTTCCCCAATATTCTCTGGTAATTTGATGGTGTTGGGTTGTACGTTTAGTTCTTGATTCATTTTGAGTAGATTTTTGTGTAAGGTGTAAGGTAGGAGTCTTGTTTCGTACTTCTGCGTGCTGAGATCTATTTTCCCAGCACCATTTGTTGAAGAGACTGTCCTTGCTCCGGGGATTGGTTTTAGCTCCTTTGCCAAAGATAACTTGGTTGTAGATGCATGGATTGACTTCTGGAGTTTCTGTTCTGTTCCATTGGTCTACATGTCTTTTTTTGTCAGTACCTGGATATTTTGATTATAACTGCCTTGTAGTATGTTTGAAATCTGGTATTGTGATGCTTCCAGCTTTGTTTTTGTTATATGAGATTGCTTTAGCTGTTTGGTGTCTCCTGTGTTTCCATATGAATTTTAGAATCATTTTTTCCAGATTTGTGAATAATGTTATGGGTATTTTGATTGCAATTGCATTGAATTTGAAAATTGCTTTTTTTTTCTTTTTCTTTCTTTCTTTTTTTTTTTTTTTGACAGGCAGAGTGGACAGTGAGAGAGACAGAGAGAAAGGTCTTCCTTGGCCGTTGGTTCACCCTCCAATGGCTGCCGCGGCCAGCGCGCTGCGGCCGGCGCACCGTGCTGATCCGGTGGCAGGAGCCAGGAGCCAGGTGCTTTTCCTGGTCTCCCATGGGGTGCAGGGCCCAAGCACTTGGGCCATTCTCCACTGCACTCCCTGGCCACAGCAGAGGGCTGGCCTGGAAGAGGGGCAACCGGGACAGAATCCGGCGCCCCAACTGGGACTAGAACCCGGTGTGCCGGCGCCGCTAGGCGGAGGATTAGCCTAGTGAGCCGCGGCGCCGGCCATATACAGTTTTTTTTTTTTTTGAAAATTGCTTTTGGTAGTATGAACATTTTGACATTAATTCTTCCAAACCACAAACATGGAAGATTTTTCCATTTTTGACTCTTTTTCTATTTTTTGTTTAATGTTTTATAATTTCATCATAAAGATCATAGAACTCTTGATTAAATTTATTCCAAAGTATTTAATTTTTTGTAGCTCTCATGAATGTGATTGATTTTGATGTTTTTTCTCAACTATAGCATTGTCTGTATATACAAAAGTTATTGATTTTTGTGTATTGATTTTATATCTTGCCACTTTATCAAACTCTTTTCTGAGTTCTAACAGTCTCTTTGTAGAGTATTTTGGTTCCTAATATAGAATCATGTCATCTGCAAATAGGGACAGTATGACTTCTTCCTTTCCAGTGTGTTTCCCCTTGATTTCCTTTTCTTTCTAATGGCTCTGGCTGAAACTTCCACAACTATATTGAATAGTAATGGTGAAAGTGAGCATCCTTGTCTGGTGTGGATATTAGTGGGAATGCTTCCAAAATTTCCCCATTCAATAAGATTCTGGCTGTGCATTTGTCATAAATTGCCTTTATTGTGTTGAGGAATGTTCCTTCTAAAACCAATACGCTTAAGGTTTTCATCATGAAAGGATGTTGTATTTTATCAGCTGCTTTTGCACCTATTGAAATAATCATATGCTTTTATTCTTCAGTTTGTTAATGTGATGTATCACATTGGTTGATTTGTGAATGTTGAACCATCCCTGCATACCAGGGATAACTTCCACATGGTCCAGATGAATGATCTTTCTCAAGTGTTGTTGGATTTGATGAGCTACTATTTTGATGAAGATTTTTGCATTTATGTTCAATAGGGATATAGTTCTCTTTCTCTTTTGCATCTTTTCCTGGTTTTCAAATTAAGGTGATGCTGGCTTCACAGAAGAAGATTGGGAGGATTCCTTCCCTTTCAGTTGTTTGGATTAGTTTGAGAAGAATTGGAATTAGTCTTTTAAAATGTCTGGTAGAATTGGGGCTGGCGCTGTGGCTCACTGGATAATCCTCCACCTGCGGTGCCAGAATCCCATATGGGTGCCGGGTTCTAGTCCCAGCTGCTCCTCTTCCAGTCCAGCTCTTTGCTGTGGCCCAGGAGGGCAGTGGAGGATGGCCCAAGTACTTGGGCACCTGCACCCACATGAGAGACCAGGAAGAAGCACCTGGCTCCTGCCTTTGGATTGGCACAGCGCCAGCCGTGGCAGCCATTTGGGAAGTGAACCAATGGAAGGAAGACCTTTCTCTCTCTCTTTCTCTCTCTCTCTCTCTCTCTCTCTCTCTCTCTCTCTCTGTCTATAACTCTACCTGTCAAATTAAAAAAATGTCTGGTAGAATTCAGCAGTGGATTCATCCATCAGCTTTCCTTTTTTGGGAGGATCTTTAGTACTGATTCAATTTCTGTGTCGGTTATTTTTTTTTTTTATTTTTTTGACAGGCAGAGTGGACAGTGAGAGAGAGAGACAG